ACTAGCTCGTAATTTATTCCAATTATAATATGAAATTCCTTGTAATGGAATTAAAGAAAAAAACAATTCCATTTGAAATTACTTCAAGGAATTGAAAAAGTAATCGATTCCTTTGCTGTGAGCTGGAGGAATTGGTTCCTAATTACAATTACTGAGAAATGTAATTGTAATTGTAATGTAATTGCATTTACCCAGCTTTGATTGGAAGTTATCAAAGCGATAGTTACTCATTTCACAAAATCAATAAAACATTTTTGTCGCTTTTCTATCTTCTTAAAGATGCCCGGACGACTTTGACTCTCTGAAGTTTTGAAAATTAACAAAGCAAATATTGGAAGTTCATTCAAATAAAATTATACATATTTTTTATTTTCTCAGTTTTTTTTTAATTTTTCAATTAATGTGCAATATTATACTCCGTTGGGAAATTAAACCACCATTATTGTTATTATTATTATTTATAGTCTCAACATTATCATATTCGAATAACAAATAATAATATATTTTTAATGTTAACAGATGCGTTGTTTGATTGTCTTTTTACAAAGTTTTGGAACAGCTTTTTAAAATGTTTATGAACTTTATAAAATATGGGTGCATTTGAGCCGAAAGCAGGATGAAAATGGCGTAAGTCTGCGGCTGTGGTTGCAAGCTCAAAGGTGTCCCAAATTTCTCATTAGGTTTTATCAAAAATTTAGCCAACCCAATAATCTTTAACTCTTCCAACTTTATCGCACAAGTAACTCTTATTCCTATCGAAATAGTTCCCAATTGTTGTAACGCTTTCGTTTCATAAAGACGTGACGCCTTAGTTTAACAGTTCTTCCCGAGAGCGGATAAGAATTCGAAATAGTAGCGATATCATCGGCGATGATTTTTACAGAAATGTCGTGACGAATTAGTAACTTCCGCAGAAATGTGCAGATAGCCTTAGTAAAAAAGTGTGAATGTATTGCAACTTGTATCCAAGTTCTTGATCATGTAACGCTTAAGTTAGCTGAAGACAACGCCCTAATGGGCTGTTTTTGCTTACGCGTAAAAGAAATTTAGCGCATTTAGCTCTAAATGCTACTCTAAATATACATTTATCCATACAAAATTCGTCACCTAAATGCAACTCCATTTTTGCATTAAGAATCTAAATGCTAAAAGCAACCCTGTGATCTTCCAAAATTTCCACGAGTCGAACATGGTTTAATGGGAAAAAGTGGCAACATTGCTTTTTCGAGTATACAGTCGCTAGCTGGGTTTCAGTGATCGCCGATCGAGATTTCATTTATTATTTTACATTATTTGGATAAAGAAAAGTTACGCAAATTGAACATCGATATGATGCTGATAGAAATCTGGATTAGTTTGTGATCAACTCTGTTTGTTTTGTTTCCTAATTAAGTGTGGAAATTATAGTTAACTGCACCGACAAATGAATATATACACAAACAAATGTGCGGTTATGGTTAAAACAATTCAAGTTTTTGTATTGAATTTTCGGTTTAAAAATTTTTTTTTTTCTTTTTCAGTAGGGGTTTTTGCACATTATCTTTTCCGTGAGAATTTATCGTAATAGATACGGATCTGAATAAGCGACTGGAACACGGCTGTTTGTCAAAAGCATACTATTTCGAACTTGCGTAAATGTACATTTGCTAAATGCGGTAGCATGAACGCTCTTCGAAAACATATGTTCGAAAGTGCTAAATGTTGCATTTTAAATGCAGGAAAAACGCTGCATAAAGCTTGATATGAAGTTCTACCTTTAGCAATCAAAATTCGTCATTAGTAACACCCTGTACTGTTAAATTTTTCCATATGGTAATGTCGTGCTTATACGCCATGTTGGTGGTTTCCGTAATTTCTCTACAAGAATTTTCTGCATTCTCATTTTTTCACCGCCGCTGTTAGACGAGGGTTGAGAGTAAATTTTTCGAGTAGATATCTGCGCTTTTAACCTGTAAAAGAAAACTTATTTACTAAAATGGGCGTGCAAGTAGTACCTATTTCTTCCGGGGATGGTAAGTATAAATGGTTTGATTACAAATATTCGACTCATTCTAACCTTTTTTGCCACTCCGCTGTGTATATGTATGCTTTTAACACGAAAATAGGAAGCACATTCCCCAAAACTGGACAGGTGGTATCTGTACATTATACTGGTACTTTGGATGACGGCACTAAATTTGACTCTTCGCGCGACCGTAATAAACCATTCAAGTTCACACTAGGTAAAGGTGAAGTAATTCGTGGTTGGGACGAAGGTGTTGCCCAGCTGTCTGTAGGCCAGCGCGCTAAACTTATCTGCTCTCCGGACTATGCATATGGAAGTCGAGGACATCCTGGCGTTATTCCACCCAATGCCACCTTAACCTTTGATGTAGAACTTCTGAAAGTTGAGTAACTTAATACCGTATCTTATTCAGTAAGGTATAATTATTGATTAAAAATTACAAAACGGAATAAACAGCGCGAAGTTGCGGGTTAGAATTAGTAAAATGCCACATTTGTCTCAATGCAAAAAGATATA